GACCCGCACCCCTGCCTCTCCGATTTCCCCATCCGAAACATTGCGCCAACATAGGCCAGAAGATCATAACGAAAACAGCAGCAATGAAGCCAAAGAAAATCAAATCCCCAAGCACAGCCATGATCTTATGAACTCCTGTCCCGGACGGGCTCCTGTCTGCCCAATCCCACTCCGCATCGCCGCCTTTCTTCCCAAACCTCTTCTCCCCAGCCTCGGTCAATAGAAGCCGGTATTCAACTCCACAACTCCCCTTCAACACCCACGTATCATCGGCATTCCGGTATCCCTCGCAGATGACGTCTGTTGCGCCGAGCTTGAACTCCGTCGGCAGGTCTGCGGTGCATGTCCACTGCACGTCTTCGACGTCGTAGTCGTAGCCTTGGTTTGTGCAGCGCATTGTTTCTGGTTGGTAGAGGTTGCATATTTGTCTTGATGGGCCTGTGCAGCTGAGTTGGGGGATTGGTGAGACGCGTCGTGAGCTTGTCATGCGGTGGGCACGTAATGTTAGGGTTTGTACGTTTGATAGTAGGATGGCGTTTTTTCCTGGTGGTTTTGAGTTTGAGAAGCATGTCGCTGATGAGATAAAGAGTAAGGCTGTGATTGCCAGTTTGGGGAGACTCTGCATGGTTGGATGCTTGAGAGCTGTCGGTTCTCTGGCTTGTGGTCTATGGTCTGTGGTGTCTGAAGGAGTATTGGTTGAGGTTGGTCTGGGGTAGTGGTTAGTGGTAAGCACAATTCGCTTTTCGGGTGATTAGACTGCAATGCTGCGAGTCAACAGGCGATTATTTTAAGGATTTCGTGTCCTTTGGACTTGCTTGGACAGAGTGGAGAACCTTGGAACTGACAACTTGTGGTCTAGCTTTGTTTGCTCCGTTTGCATTATCTATATACTACCTAACTCGCAATGTACTTCTTTTTAATATTACTCTGTTGCCAAGTCGAAAAAAGAGACGAAAAACTAGTAAGATCGAGTAAAGGAAGCTTAGCCTTAACAAGCTAAACAAATCTAACCATGTTAATATCATGCTGACCTCGGTTCTAGCAATACTAGCTCACTTTTATCTCCATGCCATACGACGAACACATAGCAACATTTGAATTTCCCCCCAGAATCACGGCTTGCTAGAAGGGACAGTCCTGGACTTTTATCATGAGGAGAATCAGGCCTTGATCCAGCTCAAGCGCCGTTCAATGGCCACTATAATCTACGACGAACGACCCCGGAATATCATGAAGAAGCCAGGTCGGTATCTCGATCTCAGTTCGCTCAAGGAAGTGCTTTTTAGACCAGGAGAGTCCATGAAATATATACGAAAAGCGCGAGAGGCCACTGTCGCGTAGATCAAGCAGGACGAACCTATTCCCGAGAAGCAAAGGGTGCTAGACTTGAAATGGATTCATCTCCCTGCAAACAATGCTAGTAGCATCAATGGATCGCTTCCAATGTTGTGCCCATTATTGTCTGTTTACTAATGGTCTTTCTGTTAGCTGCGCTTTGTCGAAGTAATGCTCCCTCACTGCTGGTCAAATTTGATGCTAATACAGACTAGGAACTCACGATCCGAATTTCGCAAGATCAACAAATCAAGAACAAAGATCACCTCCCTTGGGCTGACTTTGTACGCAAAAGTTGGGCCGGACAACCTGCCCGTGGAAACAAATTCTACATGAAACCACAGTGTGTTGTAAGTGCGGACTAGAAAATATTACGTTGGGATCAAATCAGTTTCCATTTCTGTATACTAAGCTCAAAATCAGCATTATCAACGGCCTAAGACAGCCCATGATGATCAGGCCAACATGACCAGGACCGACGAGCAATCTGACCAGATTTCGAATCTCGGCAGAAGTGCTCTATATCTGGGTCATTCTTTTCTTCTTTCTAGCCTTTTCGTTTCTCGTTTTACTTTTCTTTTCATATGACTGATGCTTCTTCGTAGACGCCCTATCTGTTTTGGAAGAAGTGCCCAGCCGAGCTCCCTCACAATACGGATGAAGGCTCAGTCCAACTGAATAAGAGCGCGACTGCTGCTCAGACGAAGATTACTTACCCTCCTCAGACTACTCAGACTACCCAAGGACGACAAATTGTCCATGACTCAATGACCCTCGATCAGTACTACTATTCATCCCTTGACACCACGGCAAGAGACAAGGATCAAATGCTATGGCGTAGCATAGATCCAAAGCTCAAACGTACAGAAACCAAGAGTGGGGGACCTAGATATGCCGGAGTACAGACAATCGAACGATGATATGCGCAAGATTCTCATCGTGAATCAGCTCTGGGTCGGGGATACTCGGAGAAAGTATGGCCTTCGGGTGGTTCAATTCCAACGCAACTGTCTAACTAATACCCCATTGCACTAGAGATCATTATCACAAGCACAACAAGCGATATAACGAGACAGAAAGCAGTTTTCTTCAACGGGGTTTGAACAATCTTCGAGTCCAAGAAAAGAACTCCTCAATATCGGTCAAAGATACTCAAGAACTCATTCTCAGCACAGCCACAAGCTTTTTCAACAAGAAAGATGTTGGAGTGTTGGGGAACAAAATTCGCCCTTGGGCGTCTATCGTGCAGCTATCTTGAACGTGGTAAGTAGAACCAGCCATCCCAGAGAGTGTGAGATATAGGACAAGACTAATGATTTTCTTTTTAAAAAAAAGGTGTGACAAGGAAGCCTCCACTTGTTCGATGTATTCCAAAAGCCACTTGATGGTACAGCGACAGACGATGAGAGTCAAGAAAATTCCAACGAATGCTCCCCACAAGTCGCCAGTGGAGAACAAGGAACTGGGTGAAAGTCAGAATGCCAAGAAGGAGACTGGACTCATTGGTCACTTGTTCAAAAGCAAGCATGCAGCTTGGAAAGGAAGAGATACATATAACCCTTACGGTGATATCGCCGGCGAGACCGAGCTACTCCGAGAGGTCAAGGACATCTGCGATGAGCTTAACATGCTGAAATCTCTGGCCCTAGACCAAGAAGGTGTCTGGAAGCAAATCTGGAAGAAGGACCCAACCCAGAGGCTACGTTTACCTATAACACGCCTTCCGAGGTGAAGAAAGAGATTACGGAAATGGTCAAAGAGGCCGAGTTTGTGCAAAAGGCCATTGACATGCTGCTCGGCCTAAAGCAGAAGCAAGCCAATATCGTCGGAGCCGAGTTTGCACGAAAGCAAATCGAAGACACTGCGAAGCAGAGTGATACAATCATGGCTTTCACAGTGGTGACGATCTCTTCGTATGTGCATATCCATTTGGTCCTTCCCTGTTCTTAGCTGATATATTCGCAGCTCCCCGCCTCTTTCCTAAGCAGTCTACTCGCGTTGGACATATCCGATTTCCCTCATGTAGGTGACGATGTCCGCTTCCAAGGACGCATGATATTCCCCATTATCTGTAAGTTCTCATCCTACTATCCGGGTAACTAGCACTGTCTCATAAATTGATTTTCTAGGATTCTAGTTAGAGTTTCCATATCTGCGTCTGTATCTTTGCAGTTGTCGCTTACAATGCGAGCACTCTCAAGGAATATGCGTTTGGCAGAAGGAAAAGCCAGAAGACGAACAAACCGAGGAATTCGCCAGTTGAGGCTAGGCCAGCCAGCAGGCCAAACTACAGATGGGACAAATACGTGAACAATTCAAATTGATCAAAGGCATGAGGGAAGAAGACGAATACAGCTGGTCTGTTTCGGGGGGTGAACAGATGGTTTGATTGTTCTCGCTGGAATCATCATCGTTATATATATGGATCATGGTGTGAATATAAGAAGTACTCTCGGAGAACTTCCCCTGAGCAGGAATTAGTCTCTGTATGAATAGATTATGTGTCCACTACCGTTTAACTCGCTTGATCAAGAGTTATCCCATTTTATTCAGCTTTGGGCGATGGGTCCTTTACTGTCTTTCACAGCGGCAGGCCCGGGGACCCCAGAAGTTCTCATCTTGGTCATGCTCATGCTGCTCGGGGTTGACATGAGAGAGATTGACTAGGAGAGAGGAATCCGGGGTAGGTGGGGTGTGTCCGGACCAACGATCGGGTTCGCCATCCCTATCTCCCCTATCTTCCCCATCTTCGGGTCGGGCCTCGACTCCCCGCAGGGCTAATCCTCGGATAGTGGGTCCCGATGCTTTGGCCTTTCCCCATTCCCAGGCATATCCAGATATGGCTTGGCCAGTGGGAGGTAAGGTGACATCAGTCTCGGGAGAGTCTCCGGAAATACTGATGGGTTCTTACAAACTATGCAACTACGGCATCTGCACAGCTTTGCCGAGTTAGAGACCGTGGGTCAACAGCCCGCTATGTCGGAGGTATATATAAATGTCTGGTTCATTGCCTCTCTGCAGGGACGGGAGCGAGACAGCTGTGAAAGAATACACTTTTTTGTTCCTTTATTTTATAATGTCGGGCAACAAGATCAAGATTTCCATTGACCGTGGCGGCACATTCACCGATGTTCACGCCATTGTGCCCGGCAAGCCTGATATCGTCCTCAAACTCCTTTCCGTCGACCCTTCCAACTACCAGGATGCTCCCACAGAAGGAATCCGCAGGGTTCTCGAGGCCGCTACTGGTGCGACATTGCCTAGAGGAAATCCCCTTCGATTGGACGACATAGAATGCCTACGAATGGGCACCACAGTGGCCACCAATGCCCTTTTGGAGCGCAAAGGCATGAGATCTGCACTCTTGACCACCAAGGGTTTCAAGGATCTCCTTAGAATCGGCAACCAGGCCCGTCCCGACATCTTCGACCTCTCAGCGAGGCGGCCCGATGTCTTGTTCGAGGACGTGGTCGAGGTTGACGAGCGTATCATCCCCTCGCATCCCCGTTCGTCTCCGGACGCTCTGTCGCCTTTCCGAGTAATTGAGGGCACTACTGGGGAGACGTTCCACGTGGCCCAGGAATTAAACACTGAAAAGATCACTGCAGACCTGGAAGCTCTGAAGAAGCAGGGCTACCGCTCAGTGGCTGTTGCTCTGATCAACTCATTCGCCTGCCCCGACCATGAACTCAAGATTGGCGAGATCGCTGCCAAGCTAGGCTTCTCAGTTGCACTGTCATCGCAGTTGCAGCCCATGATCAAGGTAGTCCCTCGCGGCATGTCGGCTACTGCCGACGCCTACCTCACCCCGGTCATTAAATCTTACATCGACTCCATCTCAGCAAATTTCGATGGTGGCTTGGGCGGCTCACACGGTTGCCGAGTCGAGTTCATGCAGTCCGACGGTGGTTTGGTCGACTTCCGTCAGTTCAGCGGCTTAAAAGCTATTCTCTCCGGTCCCGCTGCCGGTGTCGTTGGATATGCCGCGACAAGTTGGGACGAAGAGGCCCGAGTGCCTATTATCGGCTTTGATATGGGAGGCACATCTACCGACGTGTCGCGGTTCGACGGTCACCTTGACCACACCTTCTCCTCCAGTATCTCAGGTGTCAGCATCCAAGCGCCGCAACTAGACATCAACACCGTTGCTGCAGGAGGTGGGTCTATTCTGTTCTGGAAGAATGGCCTATTCGTGGTCGGACCCGAATCGGCGTCCGCGCATCCTGGTCCTGCCTGCTATAGAAAAGGAGGGCCCCTCACGGTCACCGATGCCAACCTTTTCCTCGGCCGCCTCCTGCCTGAATACTTCCCTAAAATTTTCGGCCCCAATGAGGACCAGCCCCTCGATCGAGACATCTCTCGGAAGCTGTTCGAGGAAATGACCGCAAAGATCAACTCAGAGCACGGCATCACCCAACTCACTCCTGAGCAAGTCGCCCTAGGCTTCCTCAAAGTTGCCGATGAATCGATGACGAGGCCTATCCGTAATCTTACAGAAGCTCGAGGGTTTGAAACTTCTTCTCACCACCTTGCAAGCTTCGGTGGTGCCGGTGGCCAGCACGCGTGCAACGTTGCCGCCTCGCTCGGCATTTCGCGCATCATCATCCACAAGTACTCGTCCATCCTATCGGCGTACGGTCTCGCTCTTGCTGAAATTGTCCACGAGGCTCAAGAGCCTATGGCTGCTTACTATGTTGATGCTCAGGAGCTGGTTACTGGCAAGCTACAGGGCCTCATTGACCACACCACGAAGCAGCTGCGGACCCAAGGTTTCGTGGAGAAGCAACTCAGGCATGAAATCTTCCTAAACATGAGGTATGAGGGCTCGGATACGAGTCTGATGATCCTCAAGCCCGAGGATGGTGATTTCTTGTCAGCCTTCGTCGAGCGACACCGCCGGGAGTTCAACTTCACATTCCAGCGGCCGGTCATTATTGATGATGTTCGTGTCCGAACTATCGCGTCCGCAAACAAGACAGCCGAGAAGAGTCCCCTGCAGCAGCTCAAGGATGCGACGTTGAAGGAGGCCGGTGGACCCGCTCATTACACAAACGTCTACTTCGACTCGGAAGCTGGATTCAGAAGCACCCCTGTCTACCAGCTTCGAGATCTCGGCTCTAATGTGAAGTTGCACGGCCCTGCCATTATCATCGACGAGACTCAGACCATCGTGGTCAATCCCAATGCGGTCGTCCACATTCTTGACACTTGTGTGCTCATCGACTTGGAGTCCGCACCCCGCGAGGCCACGTACTCGTCGAAGGTCGACCCTATTCGCCTGTCCATCTTTGGCCACAGATTCATGTCTGTTGCCGAGCAGATGGGCCGCACCCTCCAGAAAACTTCCGTCTCGACCAATATCAAGGAACGACTCGACTTTTCCTGTGCTCTGTTCTCCCCCGACGGCGGACTCGTCGCCAACGCTCCCCACGTGCCTGTTCATCTCGGATCTATGCAGTTTGCTGTTCGATACCAGCATAAGCGCTGGCAAGGGCAACTGAAGAATGGCGATGTCTTGGTCTCCAACCACCCTATGTCTGGCGGAACTCACTTGCCTGACGTGACGGTCGTCACCCCTGTGTTCAAGCAAGGAACCGACAAAATCATCTTCTACGTCGCCTCACGTGGTCACCATGCAGACAGTAAGTAAAGTCTCTTCGAACTATCTAGTCCACGATTACTGACGATATCGGTTACAGTCGGCGGCATCCTCCCGGGATCCATGCCTCCCAACTCCACCGAGCTGTGGCAGGAGGGCGCAGGCATCGAGTCAGAGAAGGTCGTCTCCAATGGTGTCTTCAACGAAGACCGCATGCGCGAGCTCTTCCTTGATATCCCATCCAAGTACGATGGCTGCTCGGGTAGCCGAAACTTGAGCGACAACATCTCGGATCTCAAAGCTCAGATTGCCGCCAACGCTCGTGGCATCACGTTGATCCAGAACCTGATCGATGAGTATGGACTGGAAACCGTGCAGATGTATATGTACGAGATCCAGCGGACAGCTGAGTTGGCCGTGCGAAACCTTCTCAAGGATATGTACCACCGCTATGGCGGCCGTCCGCTGGAGGCCTTGGATTTCATGGACGACGGCACACCGATCAAGCTCACGATCACAATTGACAAGGAAGGCGCGGCTATCTTCGACTTCGACGGTACGGGCCCGGAGGTCCGTGGTAACATCAACGCTCCAGAGGCCATCACCCATTCGGCAATAATTTATGCCTTGCGATGCATGATCAAGTCGGACATCCCCCTGAACCAAGGTTGCTTGAGCCCCATTGATATCAGGATCCCAAAGCCTAGCATCCTGAGCCCCACCGGCGACTCTGCCGTTGTCGGCGGTAACGTCACGACCAGTCAGAGAGTCACCGATGTGGTCCTCAAGGCGCTTCACGCGTGTGCTGCCTCCCAGGGTTGTCTGAACAACCTAACGTTCGGTATCGATGCCAAGGTCGATGAGACAGGAAAGGTCATTCCGGGCTTCGGTTATTATGAGACTATTGCTGGTGGAGCTGGTGCGGGTGACGGCTGGCTTGGAGAGAGTGGTGTGCATGTGCACATGACGAACACCCGCATTACTGATCCTGAGATCCTCGAGAAACGATACCCCTGCGTGCTCCGCCGCTTCGAGCTCCGTGATGACACGGGAGGCGCTGGACGCAACAGGGGAGGCGACGGTGTGACCCGAGAAATCGAGTTCCTCACCCCAGTGCAGTGCTCTATCCTATCAGAGCGGCGTGTTCACCAGCCGTATGGAATGGAGGGTGGCGAGCCTGGATCGACCGGTCTGAACCTCTGGCTCACGGCGGATAGGTACACTGGCCAGGAAAGGAGAGTTAACATGGGCGGCAAGGGTAGTGTGCCCATGAAGGTTGGCGACAGGGTTGTCATCATGACCCCCGGTGGAGGTGGCTACGGCAGCAAGGATATTCAGAATGGAACCCACTGTACATAGTACCAGCTTTGTCCATAGAGATTAACTAGGCTGTTCAATTGGTACTTTTCTGGCGAATACTATGCATGCCTATGAGGATTTAGACTGACAAGGTAAACACGATCATTCGCATTTCGACTTTCATATCTCAATTAAACTAATAATCCTCTTGGTCTATTGGGAAAGGAAAAGTACTAGCGTGTGAGAGTCATACATGTAAGTACAGCCTGTGCATTATTCCGCGGTAAGTACCTCCGTTGTACATACTTGATCGTAGTGTTGTACATCTAAGTTTTCAATTCTGAATTCATGGCAATCATTTTACAACTGATTCGCAGTCTCCGGCTGTCCCCGTAACAAAGTCGACTCGACCCATTGTCTATCCATATCGATGTCAATGGAGTCCAGAACTTCTGCCCATAGCCCAGGATCCCCTTCAAAATCCAAATTAAATGATTGGGCCTGGTCGTTGGGAAGCCCTGCAACAATGGTACCTTCTGTAGACACATTGTTGCTCTGTACTTGATCCCTTAACCGCGCCTGCTCATCCTTGTTCGCAAGATTTGAATCCTTTGTCTTGATGGAACACTTGATCTTGGTGAGAAGCGAATGACACGCTCGAATGTACCTATTCCCCTTCTCTGCCATCGTCTGCAGAACATTGAGAGCCATATCCATTGCAGAGGCATTCGTTTCTTTGTATGGGAAGGCGATGTTGACCATTACAAGAAGCAGCGCCGCGGAGAAGGCTTGCTCTCCATCGATGAACCCATACGTTGCTGGTGATAATTAGAAACGATAGAACTTTCTCTTTTCAAGGCTCCTGACTTACCAACGATATTATGCTTGGCTGCGGTGTTGAGTATTAAGGCGGTAGATCTTGCTGCAGATATGGCTGTGTCAATGACATGAACCATCTCTGTTGAGAATCCGTCTTCCCATCGAGTCGCATTGGGACGTTGGGCACTTGCTGCCAACTGTCGCTGAACAGCGTACAACAGAATTGGCCGAGCGGTCATGTTGATACAATGATAATAGTGCAAGTACGTCGAAACGACCTCCCGGTGTGGCGCCTGGTTCATCTCTGAAAGATTCAGCCGCATGGCCTCTGGTAGCCGCTCAAACCAGTCACTTAGCCTCTTCATAATGTGTTGAGTGCAGGCGGATATCTCAGGACCGGACTTCTGTCTCTTGCGATATATCTTCTCCCCGATTATCCCATGTATTCTGGATAGCTCCGTGTAATTGGCGAGGACCGAAGCCGTGCGACCATCCTCACCCGGTATGGGAGAGGGAGGGAGAAGGTCAATGTCCTCGTCCTGGATCGTTATCGGATGTCCAGATGTAACGCAAAGTAGTCTTTCCATGCTGTAGGTAGACCACCAAATCCTCCGTCGGTGCTCGCGAGTTTCGCTGTCGATCTCTTGATCGAGAACTTCCTGGTGTAGCCCGAGAGAAATGGCCATTCTCAGGGCAATGCCGATGTACACGTAGGCCGCATCCCTTCGGTTAATTGTCTGCATGAAGTACGCAACGTAGCTCAACACCTCAATGAACAAAATGGAGCCGTCCTCAAACACACTTGGTAAAAAAGCAAGGGCATGCTTAAAGTACTGGAATCCAGGCGGCCCTTCATGCCCAACCCACTGGTTGATTGAGTACATCTGCCCAAAGGCGAATACGAGAAGTATTTGACAATAGATCAAACACTCATCTCTATTTTTTGGATCAGGACTTCGAGCATACACTCGCTCAAGGCGTTCATAGAAGGCCGTGTCACTGAGAAACGAGAAGATTGTGCCAATGTACGCATGCTGTGCACGATACAAGCGCTTTGCTAGGTCAAATGGTGGTAGGGGTGGTATTTCGGGATTGATTGGCCGTCGCAGCCAGGCAGTATCCTCGTAATGAGGATACATGTGCCAATCTAAGTTCTCGGTCGTCGGGTTCAGCCGGTTGGCGATATATGTAGATGACGAGTTGCCAATGAAATCTGCCCAAGTCAGCTAGTAATCTATAGAAGGCCGATGGCGACGTACGGTACTGTCCAGAGTCTCCTAGAACCCAGTTTTCGGTACTCGTAAATTCCAGCTCGATATCCGGACTGGATATCGATTCCAGATCCGCAGCGCGATCGCGATGGTCTCGGGCATTGATGGCTCTTCGAGCTTGAGTCTGAAGCTCAATAAGATAGGTCTCCGGGACAGTGACCCGTTTCTCCGTCTCAGAGTAGACGCATGTATGGCCGGCGTCTCTGCAAGTTTTGCAGGGGTATGGAGGGTCCCCAGTACACTTGGTCCGCCTTTTCCGGCATCGGGTGCATGCCTTGGCCGACCGCTTGAGGACGCCCGAGGGCGCGTGTTGCTTACGTGCGATGGCCCTAGACGCTTGCATCTCGAGGGATTGATCCGGAGTTGGAAGTGCGATCGATAGACAGCTCAATTGCAAGGTTTCATCTGATGCGGGGGTGGGTGGAGACGGTGACTGCAGGGATCGGTCCGAGGCTGAGGGCGCGTTGGAACAACTTCGTTCCCCCGCAAAATCGGCAAAAAACAACAAGAAGACTTGAATTAACTGCCAGAGCAGGGAAGGCCCGACAGTCCCCGGAAGAGAATACACCCCCTCAGGGTTCAGCTAGCCGGATACAACGTACTGAACGGTCTTGGCGTGGCACTCCCTATCCCTCATCGACTCCCAACCCCGGACCCCGGACCCCGGACCCCAACAACAAAAACGGGCTCCCTTCAGCCCGAGTCATCGGGATCTAGGACCCGATCAGTCTCTCGCCACTCCATCGCCTCCACGATGTTTCCAACGCGCAGCTATGCGACATAGGGAGGGCGGAATGAGTGAACCGATACTGCGTTGGACCCAAAACAGATGCGGTGGCGTGCTCTGCTCAACTGCCCAAGTTTAAAATTGCAATTATTCCAATTATCTGGTTTGTCCCTAGCCTCGTATAAGTCAACCTGTTCTCCGGACCACCCCAATTTTCTTCAGCGCCACGCCTGCCTCAAGATGCCAGCCGCCATCGCTATCATCTTTGCCATAGTTGGCATCCTTGTCGTGCGACTGCTGAGGTCTTACTTTCGGTTATCGGATATCCCCGGTCCGTTCTGGGCCAAGTTCACCAACCTTTGGCGATTCCGTTCTCAGAACACCAAAGGCCACACTGCAAGGCTCATCGCGCTGCATAAGAAACACGGAAAGCTCGTGCGCCTGGGGCCCAACCATGTCAGCATCAGCGATCCAGCAGCCATCCCTATCGTCTACAGCACCAATCCGTCATGGAGGAAGGGCCCTTCCTACTATGGGGCTGTTCCCATAAGCAAGAAGCGGGCTGTGCCCAGCATCATTGCCATGAGCGAGAGACAGCACACGTCGGTGCGCAAATCGGTCGGCCGTGCCTTCACTACGAACTCTCTGCTGGACTACGAAGATTCTATCGAAGCCACCGGCAAGGAGCTTGTCGATGTCCTCACCGAGAACCCGGAGACCGACGTGGGCCAGTGGCTTCAATTCTTCGCCATGGACATGTTGATTCGCATTGCCTTCAGTGACACGCTCGGCTTACTGGCCAAGGGCGACGATATCGACGGGACGCTTGCTGCCGTTATGGCACGATTCGACCATTGGGGACAATGGGGTGCAATGCCCGACGCCGACTTCCTTCTAAATAAGAGCCGGCTCGCTACGCTTCTACGAGGAGTCGGTGACAGTCCCCTTGCCAGGATTGGGATGAACAAACTGGAAGCGAGGAGGAATGATGCCAATAAGCAGATGTATACAGACCTCTGCTCCAGGTTTCTTGAAGGCCAGGCCAAATATCCCGACCTCTTGCGACAGGATGAGATCCTGGGTATCATCATGTCCACCATTGGCGCAGGTGCTGACACTACGGCCGGTACTCTGACATATACACTGTACTTCCTCTCAAAGAATCCCACCGCGAAGACTAAGCTTCTGCAAGAGATTGAAGAAAGCCTCCGCGCCGGTACACTGTCCAGTCCGCCTAAATGGAAGGAGGTGCAGCACATGCCTTACCTCGATGCGGTGCTGAAGGAGTCAATGCGACTTCTCCCGATCGCATCCTGGGGTCTTGACCGAGTCGTCCCCCCGGCAGGCGCGACGATTGCGGGCAAATTTATCCCTGGGGACACAATTGTTGGATGCCAGATCGATGCTACTCACCTGGATGAAGGCGTCTACGGCAGCGACGCGGATTCATACAGACCGGAGAGATGGATTGAAGCAAATGAAGACCAGCGCCGACAAATGGATCGTGCGTTCCTCACATTCAGTGCCGGCAAGAGGATTTGCACGGGAGTTCACATCGCGTGGTTGGAGATGAAGAAGACACTGCCATTGTTGCTGATGAATTTCGATGTGAGTAACTCCACTCTGAATTAATTTTGGGAAAGGAACACCAACTAACCTGACTTATCTGCGTAGCTGGAACTCATCGATCCTAATCAGGATGTGAGGGATGGTATCAGAATCAGCGCAGTCAAATACCCGCCCCCAGTTCCGATGAAGATCACAAGGAGGGATCTGGTTCCCTCTTAAAAAGCAGGCCCGTCTGATGTAAAGCCCGCTGGCATACGACGCACTTTCTTGCTGCCCGGAAACTAAAACAACCGAGTATGGATTTGAAACGGGTTATGTACGTATTGCAATATTGCTATCAATGAACAGTTTTGCACAGAGCTCCGGACGCACCAGATAAGCACGCCATTGCACGGTGGGAGTAGCTTCATTTTCATCAAATATGCAGATTCGTGGGGTCGGAATACCTTCAGCAAGCTAGTTCTAGGGCGATTATTGATTTAGGATCCTTATAAGAGTATTTGGGGAGAATCCACAAAAAGGTCAGGGGCGCTATTATAAGGAAGGATGGTTACATAAGGGGTTGGTTGGATTAGCTGATAGGACTTTTCGCTACAGCGAGTATAGAGCATTCATGATCTACTAAGTAGGGCACGTCTGTCTCGATACAAGCGCAGTCAGAAAATGAAAATAACCATTTAATTGAAAGGTATCGTAATGTTTGCATCCGTGCGCCGAGGCATATCACCTCCCACTCCAAAACCTTAAATACAAAGAGAGATCCCCATGCAAGTCATTTGTCCCTTCGATTGTACATACACCTGCTCAGTCCTCTACCATCTGCATTTATCGTGGAAAACGACGGCATGGATATGGTAAGGGCAAATAACTTTGCTTCTGTTTCCATATTAAGATTGATTATACAGATTCCCGAAACCGACCCCAAGATATCAGCCCAAACATCATTAACAGCTTTGCAAGTTTGGTGACTGGGTACCGCGCCTCTGAGTTTGAAGGATCCGGTGAGTGAGAAGTTTTCGACTTGAATAGGACCTTTGCATGGTGGTCATGGCCGACTTGTCTTGCTGGGATGAGGGGTGTTTGGTAGATGTGATAGGAGACGCGGGTCCTAGCCTGAACAGCGCTAGCCGCGATTTGGAGGGAGCTCATGGGATATTGTGGGTTGCGCAGAGAATGAAAAGGTGAGTGTGAGGGGAAATGGTTGAGTAAAAGGTAGGAATTGACAGGTTTGTATCTCAAAGTTGATACTCTCACTGACTAATTCACTGCTCGGAAATAGTTGCTATACAGAACTGGCCAATGAACAGCGTAGCCCCCTGATGTGAGGTGTCGAATGCCCTTCTCATTGGAACTTTCTCAAATGAGGTTCTATTCAGCGAAATATTCTTGCCTCAAGGATAGTTTTTAAATTATGGTTACATGACGTACAGGAACTCCAGGGTTCGACGATAACGTTGTGGTATACTCGGCACTATAATTCAGGATGTAGCTATTCTTTACTCGCTCTTCTCTCTGCCACCGCTGCCTCCAGACCAGCTGTTACCTCGACGTACACAGCCCTCGGGACTGGCTGGCAAGTATGACCCGGAACAGGCCAGGCTGGAATTGGCCAAGCGGAGTGTTCGAGTTTGATATCTGCACCCGCATCGAGTAAGTGGACGATCTCAGAATGACCCATCTCCATCGCTATTTGCACAGCTCTTCCGCAGGAGAAACTGACTGGTATTAAGACATCTGTCCTTTCAAATCCATAGACAGGAAGAGGCCGGCCACGACCGCCTAACTCATGGTACGAAATGTTGGCATGAGCGCCGTGTGCAAGTAGCAATTTGGCCAGAGCGACGTTGCCCAGCCTGGCTGCCCGGATAAGAGGCGGCGTAATGTCCTTTGCTCTTAAAAGCTTCAGATCTAGGTAGTCGTAGCCTCGGTATGCCAAGGGATCTTCCGGAAGAGGTCGATCCGACTCTTCAAAGTCGCAGCAGACACCATGTGTCAGAAGAATGGTAGCGGTTGCTGTGTCCTCCTGCTCAATCGCGAGCGCGTGCTTCAGCAACTGCCGGAAATCGTGCCCCACGTAACTAGAGCTGAGCGAACTGCGTTGAAGAAGATTGTGTCACCGGTGGGGGGCACGGGGTGTTATTGCTTATTTTCTAATCTGGTCGAGAACGAGCAGAAAGGAAGTCTTGGATATAGGTGAACGTATTCAGGAAGTGTCGAGAAGAGTGTTAGACAGTGTTTAGACAATGAAGAGCATATGTACATACATATGTATGTATGTATGTAGTAGGTAGTAGGTAGTAGGTAGATGGTTCATTCCATATGTACATATGTAGCCAGCCTGCAGGGGATGAGACAAGCCTACCCAGGTAAAAGGACCGTTTTGATAATTACTTTCAAAGGTATTCCATATAGTAATTTTCAATATTGAAACTCTGTAGTAACCTATATGTGTACTAGTATCATTCTTCCAGAAGTGTAAGCAATTATTTACGTATGTAGTTATAATACTATAAATAAGCTGAAACTCCCCCTGGGGCCTTGCCGCCAGATTCCTATCCCACCTGCAACCACATAGACCACCTGCGTCTAAAACAATCCACACGCAAAAGGGCCACTCCCAAAATGGAAGAATCCCTCATCCTCTCCAAATTCGACCACCTCGTCCAATCTGGCCTCGTGCTATACGACGACAAGCAACAAATCATTGAGCGCATTGACAGTGACCTCAAAGTACTAATTATTTTCCCAACAATAATCCAATCAAACCTCTACTGACGTGATTACTAAGTTCCAATTTGTGCTCACTTCTGCTCTCGCCAAGAAACCCACCCTAGCCACCACCCCGTCCCAGCCCGAGGTCGACACCCAAAGATCCGAAAGGTGAGAAGGCAGCGACATAAGCACCACCGGGTTCGAACTCGGTGACCTTGATAGCCATTTAGTGATCGTGAACAAGTTCTGCTTTGCGCGGCCCCACCTCATAGTTCTCACGTTTGATGGATACAAAAGACAGTATGAGGCGCTCGACGAAGCCGACCTAAACGACACATGGCAGATCCTGAGCTCCGCGGAGAGGGACTACGTTGCGTTTTACAACTGCGGCCAGAATGGCGGATGTAGTCGGCTGCATAAGCATCTGCAGGTGATGCCCTTGCCAGCAAACAGTTTTGCGGCGTTTCTTGATTCTTCCGAGCCCGAGAGCAAGGTTCCATTTGAGTGGTTCTATCGACGCTTCGAGGGTGATATGACCCCCACCACGTTGTTCGGAGTTTACAAAAACCTGCTGGAGGAGGCCACGAAGGTGGGCAGGGACTATACGGCAAGTGCACCGCCTGGGGCAGTCTGTCCGCATAATATGATTCTTACCAAGAGATGGATGATTGTGCTGCCTAGAAGACGAGGCGCGGTTAATAAGGAGGCCGGGGTGAATTCGTTGCGCATGCTGGGGGTAATCGCCGTGGCTACGATGAAGGAAATTGATAATTGGGTCAAATTGGGTTTGACCGAGTCCCTGGCGAAGCTGGGAGTTCCCAAGGGAATATAATGGACAATGCCTTTGCACATGGTAATGCAGAGGTTGAATTTGAGTCGGCAATATGTTAGTAGAATAGATCATCCACAATGATAAGGATGTCACATGGAACCCTAGATATGTAGACATCTCTACGAGGCTAGTTTACTCAATGTGGCCTACTTATATCGTCAGTGATACAAGGGCTGTATACGATAGCCGGAGCTGCTTCAAAACACGCTGGCGGAAGCATTCTCACTTGTATTTTTTTTTTTTTTTGCGCATAAA